TCCCAGTACCCACATGGCAGCTAACAGCTGTCCATAACTCCAGTTCCAGGGCCTCGGACAGTCTCTTCTGTCCTCTGCGGGCATTGCACAACATGAGTGCACTTACCTACATGCAGGCAATACACACATACACATAAAATAAAAATAATAAATAAAAATATTAAAAATAATAAATGTTAAAAAGATACCAGGCACCATTTCTGGAAGGCGGACAAACAAGAATAAGCACAGATTTCATGGTAGCAAGTATTGTTTTCAAGAACCTTCCCTGGGGCATTTTCTAAGTCACACACCATAACCATGTGAACAGTCATAGTAATTGACACCTGGTGCTGCTGCCCAAATAATAGACATTTGATGATGATTGTTTTTATGGTTACAGGATCTTACAACTTTTGAGAGAATATCATTAAGGAAGTCAATCTTGAGAGACATTATGAGCCCCAGCATATGACAACAGTACATGATGTTGACAAGCTGTATTCCTAATCATCTTTCATTTGACTGAACTTCTGTGAAAACTAAATCAATAATGTAGAAATCACAGGTTGTTGGGAGACTCAGCACAATGCGTGAGAAAGCACTTGAAAGTGTAAATGTTCTTACAAGACATAAGATCCTGTTACTTTTATAACCAAGTCTTTAGGCAAACTCTGCCAGTGTCATAGCATTTGAAACTGTAGAAACTTGATATCTTGACTTAGGTGAGGAAATATTCAATAGCAAATTACCTCTTTCCTATCCCACATATATATTAATTTTGTTTGGAAGCTCAAACATGCGTGATGGAGGCTATGATATATTTCTGTATCTGTTTGATGAATACTCTTGACAGCTCTTCAGCTGCTCTGGGGACATAGCACCTGACTAATCAGACAGTGTCTTGCCTTCATGGAGCCTAACATCTAGGAAATGATGAATTCTGAGCATATCATACATGAAAGAATGGCCACATCAGCTCTGAGTGAAATAGAAGGTTTTAAAATAATAAGTAAATTAATGACCATCCAAACCTTCTGATACTTACCTTTGGACATCCTGAAGGGTGTGAGTATTTCATGATGGTTTGATTGTCATTCCACTGATCACTGATGATCTTCAGCAACCTGTCATGCATATGTTGGTGAATTTGTCTGTTGTCTCTGGAAAAATGTCTATGCACGTTTTTCACTCATGTTTAAATCATGATAGTTGATATTATTGCTGTTGAGTTTTAGAAGTTACAATATCAGGGTATTTTAACCCTTTATCGGATACATGGCTTCCAAATATTCATTTTCTTTATTGTTTATTCTTTATTGTTTCTTTAGTTGTCAAATCCCAAAACCCATTGCCAAGTCTAGTTAAGGGAGCTTTTCCTGTTTTTCTAGGTGTTTATAGTTTTAGCTTTCATGTTTAAATCATTAATCAATTCTGCATTGAAACTTAAAACTGGGTATAAAGGCCCAGTTTTTTTATTTGTTTTGTTTTTCTGACACAGGGTTTCATGTAGCCCAAGCTAGCCTCAAACTCTCTATGTACCTGATGATGACCTTGAACTGACCTTCCTGCCCCTGCCTCCCAAGTACTGAGATTCCAGGCATGTACCACCATGCCCAGATTTTTTTTTTAATTTATGCCTTCAGTTTTCCTTGAACCATTTGTTAAAGACACTATCCTTCCCCTGTGTTTTTTTTTTTTTCTGGTATTAAAAACCAGTTGGAAAATTTATTCCAGACTCTGTGTTCTGTCCCATCCTGTTAATTGCTGCAGCTTTGTGATATAATTTGAAGTGCACATGATATTTCCAGCTTCTTAACCTTTTACTCAAGATTGCTTTAGCTGTTCAAGGTCTTTTGTGGTTCTATACAATTTTTAAGTTTGCCTTTCTTTCTGAAAAATGTTATTGAAATGATACAGTTTGCATTAAATCTATAGATCACTTTGGGTAGTATGAAAAAAATTTTAAATATACATTATGCCACTCCATGAATATCAGATATAGTTACATTACCTGTATCTTTTTTATTTCTTTAATCAATGTTTCATAGTCCTCAGTGTACAGATCTTTCACTTCCTTGGCTGTTGGTGAAATGTAAATTACTATAGCCATTATAGAAAACAATGTAGTGATTCTGGAAAAAGTTAGGAATGAAACTGCCACATGGTTCATTAGTACCACTTCTGAGTGTATTTCCAAAGGGAGCAAAGTCATTTTGTTGAGTTATCCACATTCCACTTTTCATGCAACTTTATTCACAACAGCCATGATAAACAACTTGTCCACTTATTGATAGATGGAAAAAGTATCACATACATGCACACAGACACACACAGACACACACAGACACACACACACACACACACACACACACACACACACACACACACAAAATGGAATACTATTTAGCCTTAAAGAAAATCCTGTCACTTGCAACAACATGGATGAATCTGAGGTACATTACGTTCAGTCAAACAAAGCAGACACAGAAACAAAAATACTGCTAGTGTACAGTCTTCATTTACATGATGAATATATTCTAAAGACTTTATATACAACATGGTCAGCTGTAGTTAATAGGGTCAAAAGTCAGTGTATTGTATATTTGATGTATTAGTTACTTTTCTGTTGCTGTAGTAAGACACCATGACCAAGGCAACTCATAGAGGATGAGTTTATTTGCCTTATGATTCCAGAGGGATTTGAGTCCATAATAGTGAGGGAGACATGGCAGCAGAGGTGGTCAGAGCAGAAGGTGGAGCACTCGTATCTTCAAGCAGGCACAGGAAGCAGACAGGGACTGGAAATCTGGCAAGGTTTGAGAACTCTCAAAGCCCGCCTCCAGTGATGGGCTTCCCCCAGCAGGTCCACACCTCCTAAAACCTCCCAAAACAGTGCTACCAACTGGAGATAAAATGTCCAAATACATGGAACCTATGGAGAATATTCTCATTCAAACCACCACACTTGAAATTTGCTGTGAGAGTGGATCTCAAGTCTTCTTACCAAACCAAAATAAAAAGTAACTGGGATAAAGGATGGGTCAGTTAGCTTATTGTAGTAATCATTTCACAGTGTATATGTGTGTCAAACTTCTTTGTATACCTCAAGAATATACTACGTGTATTTGTCAGTCATCCCTCAAGCTCAAGGAGAGGGAGAAGAAGTAGACTATGGGCATATAGAGCTGTTGTATGGGTTGGTGAGATGACTCATGGGTAAAAGCACATGCTGCTAGAGCTGCTATATATTCTGATAACTGATTTACATATTTAATTTTTGTTTTGTAATACTGGAGACTGAATCTAGGGTCTCATGCTAGGCACATACTCTACTACTGCACTACATCCCCAGCCCTCTTTCTATTTTGAGGCAGGGTCTCATAAGTTGCTGAGGCTGGCCTTGAACTGACTCTGTAGCCTAGGAATTCCTTGACCTTGTAATTTTCCTCCTTGGCCTCCTGATTATCTAGGATTGTGGGCCTGTGCCACAAGGCCCAGCACACAGTTTCATTTCCCTGAATAAACTTGACTTTGTGTTAGACTTCAAAGCTCTCTGGAGTGCTTCTTCCTCAGTTCCTCAGACTTGAAGGTGGTGGCCAGGCCTTTGAAGGCTGAGTCAAGAAGTATGCAGTCACACTCTGAAGTCAGACTGTCAGGTTTGAACCTCCTCTCCCAGGACTGGCAGAGAATTGTGGTACAATTTTCTTGTTGGTAAGGTTAGTATATTAATAGATCATTGTAAGGCAAGAAGTAGTTTGCCCGGTAGCCCATGTAGCACACTCAAGTCTTTTTCTTCAGGACAGGGGCCAGATTACTGTAAGATTCAATGGGTTGATACAGGGGCAATGTGCTTAGTCAGTCTTAAAGCCCTACGTTCTCATTTCATGTAAAGCCTGTGTATGAAAGTGGTCATCGTCCTGTTTCTCCTCTCCCTTCTTCTGCTGATGCAAGACTTTGTCCAGAGTCTAACTGCACAGCAATCTCAGGGAAGCTGCAGGGCTTAGTCCTTTAGCAAACTTCTCCATCACACCATAAGGAAGCTGCTTCAAAAGTAGACCGCCCAGGTCTGAAGACTTCTGGGGATTTGTGACCCACTTCCTGCCAACTCTCTCAGGTGCTAATCATTGCAGTGGGCAGTGAGCTAAAGAGGAGAGGGAACAGTGTTCTTACAGAGCATGACACAGAATTGAAGCACAGTTTTTTTTTTTTCATTTTTCTTTTGCAAATCAACCTTGAATAAAAAGGAATCTTTTTATGTGAATAATCACACTAGCAAAATAGCCACCCAAGAGATGACCTTTCAAACCTTTCTGATCATAATTTGCTGTAGGAAGTATCTTATTTCAGATCCAGTTCGCATGCGTGTATGGAAATGTTTTCACGATAGAATAAGCACTCTTGCCATCTGTAACGTATTTTCTATTCTCCATTCAGTTCAGTGAGCTGTCGTTCATGTTATTCCATTCCCTTCCTTGTCATTCTAGAAGAAAGGACCGGCAGTTCGAAAAACATTTATCTAAGAGATCAATGGGCCTAAACAAGACTAGCAATGTGAATAAAAAGGATGGAGCTGGGTATTGTGCTCAGCGCTGAATATTTTCTCAGTCATTATCTTAATAGGTAGAAAAAAAATTAAAGATCATACATTGTTAGGCAAAATTTTCTAAAGAAGAAAATGATTTGTTATTTAGCTCTTATCACACCTTTAAAAAGTTGGTTTTATCTCTAAGGTATTATAGTTGTGTCTGATGGAAGTTCTGGGCTGGATGTTGTTTGGGTGCAGTCATCCAGTGTAGCCAGGAAGCCCTGCTTCTGTCCCTGACATTTTGGTTGTTACTGGCTGATGTCTTTTCTGGGTCTTGGGTTTTTCTCTGAATGAGGGGGGCAAAATGTTTGCCTCTCTCCAGGGTTCTTTGAGGATCAGCTGAGAAAACAAATTTGAGATTGTAAACTGAAGTATTCCTTGCAAACATTGAAGTTAATGTCTGTATTTATAAACTTTTACAAAAAACTTCTAGATTTCTCAACTGAATACACTGATCACACTTCTGCTGGGAGAGCTTCTACCTGGAGACAGGCAGAAGATCATGACACTCTGCACCATCGATGTCCATGCCAGAGACGTGGTGGCAAGACTGATTTCTCAGAAGGTGAGCTTGCTGCAGAAATAGGACTTATTGCTCTGTCCTGAAAGTAGTATTTATTGTCAGAGTAGTTTAAGGAAGTCAGCGTTTTTCAAAAGTTGACATAGTTTAATTAGTGCTGGAAAGTTGTAGATATTTGGGGTCTGTTAAATTTGAGAATTACCTGATCGACAATCCAAGTTTTGTTAAATTAGGAGCCTTAGGCCATCCAAAAGTCACAGAAGGAAGAACCGTAGGAAGCCTTTGTGGTGACATCCCTGTCTTCTGGCTTTTCTATGCATAACCGGCCTTTGCCTGTGACCTTACCTCTGTGACCATAGTCAACAGCAATAAAATAGTGCATCATTTAAACCATCTCAGTGGGGGAGGGGGGTGCTGGGGAGATATTTCCCTGGGTAAAGTACTTGCCACACAAGCCTAAGAACCTGAGTTTTGGGACTGGAGAGATGACTCAGTGGTTAAGAGCACTGGCTGCTCTTGCAGAGGACCTGGGTTCAGTTCCCAGAACCATTTGGTGCCTAACAATTGTCTATAACTCCAGTTCCAGGGAATCTGATGCTCTCTTCTGGCCTCTGTGGGCATCTCATGACATGGGTGCTCATACGTACACTCATGCACATACAATAAAAATAAAATTAAAAATTTCAAAATAAGGTACATACCTGGCATTGACCTCTGACCTCTACTCACAGTACCCCAACACCCACACATTCATCTCACGTGATTTTTCACATAAATCATAAATATAAAAAACATTCCTCAATGAGCTGCAGAACACCAGTAAAGAATTTTTTATTTATTGTTCTTATTTATTTTTTAATGTGTATGAGTGCATGGCCTACTTATGGGCTTAAGGGGCTGAAAGATGGCTACTGTCATGCAGTGCCCATCAGAAGAAGGCGTCAGGTCCCCTGGAACTGGAGTTACAGACAGTTGTTAGCCACCATGTGGGTACTGGGAATTGAACCTGGGTCCTCTGCAAGAGCAGTTAGTGCTCTTAACCACTGAGCCATCTCTCCAGCGCCCCACCCCCCACGAATTTTTTAAAATTTCACCCCAGAACAATCCCTGTAAAGCACCTTTTACTGCGCGTTTCATTAGTCACATATTTTATATTGTTTTATTTGTTTGCAAAGGCATAATTTTTTTTTGTCTTTTTGAGACAGGGTCTTCCTATAGCCCCAGCTGTCCTGGAACTCACTATGTAGACCAGAGTGGCCTTGAACTCACAAAGATCTGCCTGCTTCTGCCTCCCGAGTGCTGAGATTAAAGACATGCGCCACTATGCCTGGCATGAATTTTTATCAGAATGTTTTATTTTTGACCATTTTCTCTAATTCTTGATCATCTAAAATACATGTGTATAGTCATTGAATTCTCCTAGTCATTGGATAGCTATTAGGCAAGAATTTTGGTAATTTGCAGTGATTTCCAAGGAACCCAGAGGACTACATACCTTGAAAGAGACAGAAAATTTCTTCAAGCTAGAAAGGGAATGAATAGAATTAAGATTGGGAGGAATAACTGTGAAAAATTAATCTTACAGAAGTTTAAGGGGCTGAAAGATGGCTCAGTGGTTAAGAGCACTAGCTGCTCTTACAGAGGACCCGGGTTTGATTCCTAGCACCCACATCGTGGCTAACAACCATCTGTAACTCCAGTTCCAGGGGATCAGACACCCTCTTCTGACTTCTGCAGGCATTACAGGGCACAGTGCACCTACCTACATGCAGGCAATACATTCATACACATAAAATAAAAATAATATCTTTAAAAGAGGTTTAAAATGTCTGCACTAAAAGCAGAGTGATTGTACATTTTTTTCAACTTTAAACTTACAGAAATTATAGATTATATGTGATTTTAATACAGAAAGTGAATTTTTCATTGTGTTTCGGTAAAAAGAGGTAAAGATTCAAAAATTACTAACCTCCTTGAGTGACTCATAAAAAGGGAGAAAGCATTGCTTGAACAAATGAATACCCTTTACATAAAAGCTAATAAAGTGAAGACTTTTGTTACACATATATATCTGATTAGTCAGCTATCTGCATGCAATTGTGATTTTCAGTGACATTACAAAAGAGTTACTATTGGAGATTATAGAAAAGTGAGCGAACAGAGCTGATAAGGTTAATAAATTTGTTGTGTCAAGATTGCGCAATGATTGTAGGTTGTCAGCCCCCACGCTTTTGCCTGGCTATCGCAACTTCGGCACTGGTGGGAAGACACCCGGAAGCACTGCTTTGTTAACATCTGTGACGCCCAGTTCCAGTACTTCTATGAATACTTAGGAAACAGTCCTCGACTGGTGATTACTCCTCTCACTGACAGGTAACAATTACAAGTTTCCCCAGATGGGAAAATCAAGCCAAAAAGTCCTCTCATGTGGATAGTAGATGTGTGGGAATGAGAAGGCAGGATGAGGGGAACGGATGAACAAACCAGGAAGCTGTGTGTGAAAGCAGTATGGAAATTAGCTATGTTCCACACTGAACATGAAGTTTAGAGACAAGCTGAATAAAATAGATTTCAAGAAATGGAATGAGAGAAGCTTTACAATAATAAATGATGAACATGGTTTAAGGAAGTCTCATTGACCCCTGAGGCCATTCTGCCCAGTTATCTACATCTGACTTCCTATTAGCCCTCTCCATGATCTTTCCCCTCCATCTTCTTATTGGAAGTGCAAACATGGCCAGGAATAGCCTATGATCAACTTCAGTTTTGAAGAATTTCATTCAGTGAGAAGAGGGAGAACCCAAGATTCATTAAATGACTTGTGAAATGAATACTTGTGAAACGCTGTGCTAAGTACTGTCCTCAATATGCTTGCTGACACAGAGACCACTTTCCAGTTGAATGCGGTATGTGCATGGGTGAAGATGAAGAGGAATGATTTTATTTTAGGAGGCACTACGTACTGTAACAGAAATAGAACATAGTGGTTCGTCAGAAAGGGTATACTGGGAATAATCTACTTTAGGTTGAGTTTCCTCTCTGTGAAATGCTCAAGACCAGAAATGTTTCCAATTTGAGAGGGTTTTAGATTTTTTAATATTTCTCCAAGTTGAGATTTCATAATCTGAAAATTAAAAATCCAAAATGCTTCAAAATCACATGTCAGAGCATTTTGGGATAAATATCCATGTGGACTGAGAGAGAACTTTTGAGCATGTAACATCAGCTGTGCCCAGATCCTGGGTCAGAAAGGAATAGGCAAAGCCAAGTGTAAATGTTCCAAGGTGGGCAGGAGCTTGGCCAGATTAAAACACAGGAAGAAAGCTAGTGTAGCCCCAGTAAATCAACAGACCAACAGGTTGCTATTAAAAGTTCATTGCTACTTGACTGCATATAAATAGAAACATAGAGTCTTGTAGAGGTAAAGAAGTTTCATGGAATGAATTCCTTAATTAGGAGTCCAATGCCTGTTCTGCAGCATGAGAAAGTATACTTAATCTTTGGCATTTATGAGAGAGAAATCCTCTCTCAGTGCTCCTGATTACCTAGAATCACCAAAGTGTAGATGTGTCAGAAAACAAGTCTGCAAAGCTCTGTGGTTGTAGTGCCCTGAAGAGGCTGGTGGGATTCTCTCTTTAGCTTTGTGGCTGTTCATGTACATACTAATCTCACGAGTTCACCATTTTTATATCGTGCAGTTTCTATGACTGTGTAAATTAGTTCTCCTTAACTTGTCTCCACCTAAAGGTGTTCATTGTCTTCCCTCATCTGTTTACATATGGCATTCATCATGAAGAATTAAAATTTGTAGCCTGACGTAAATACCTGAAGGTAGTCAAAGCTACTATATGTATGCCACTATGAAATAGGGAAGAAGGGAAGTGAGCTGAAGGTGAGGAAAAAGGAAAGAGGTTTCAAAGTGTGCCAGTATATGAAGACTGGTAGATTATTAAATCTTTGAAAACCATATGGCCTTCATTTGGAAATTAAAAAAAAAAACAAAAACCTGAATGTTGCCCTGGTAACATTGTGTAAGTTCTCGAGTTTGCTGTCTGTTGCTGTAATAAAACACTGACCAAACCAATTTATAGAGAAAAAGGCCTATTTGACATACAAGTTGCAGTCTATTATAAAGGGAAACTAAGGTAGGAATTCAAATCAGAAACTTCAGAGGAACACTGCTTACTGGCTCAGTTCCTCTAACTTGCTCAGCTACCTTTCTTATATAGCCCAGACCCACCTGCCTATGGGTGGCATCAGGTGTATTGGTGAAGGGAATGCAGGCTAAACTGTCATTAAGAAAGACCCTGAAATTCAGTGACTTAACAAACACAGAAGTTTTCCACTCCCTGTCCCACTATGTTCCCTGAGCCTTAGGTGTAGAAGTTGCATTGTAGAGGTATCACTTAGGGCTAGGCACCTCATAGACACTTATTCTCTGCATTTGACCAGTTTGGAACTTTTAATAGTCTCCATTTGTTGCAAAAAGAAGCTTTGATGAGTGGTGAGAGGTCCATTTGTCTGTAAATACAAAGATACATATTTAAAATACAGTAAGAAATTATATCAGTCTAGGGATGTGGCAAAAGTAAGTTTTCCTCTGGGATCTATGACCTCTCCAGCCATGTGTATTTGGCTAGGTTTATAGTACCACACATAAATTCCCTCCCATTGAGCAGGCCTTGAATCCAATAGACAGCTGTTGATTACCCTCAAGATAAAAATGCTACTGCTGCTTCAATAGAAATTATTTGCTGGGTCAGTCATTGTTGGGGTTCATAGGCTTTACAACTGGATGGGATCATTGGTTTTCTCCCTTGGAAATTTGCATAGTATCTTCTGATACTATGGGATCTAGATTTCAGGGAGGAGACTTTCAAATCAGTTCCAGCTCAATTACACCAAGTCCTGTGTTCAAAGTATGTCTTGTCTTCAGCTGTAAGGGCTTACCTTCAAGTTCTGAGAGGCAATCAAAGGCTATAACAATAGCCTACGTTATTTTGGAAATCTCTTGGATTACCATGACAAACAACTCAAAGGGAGGTTTCCCCTGCCTGGGACTGTGTTTTTGTGTTATATAGCCTTCAGCTATACACATGCCAGGAAGGCTCCCTCATGCAGCAGATGGTGATTAACTCAGAAAGTCACAACTGGCCAAAGTACAGAGAATAAGAGACTACATAGTACTTAGCCCTTAATAGGACACCTATATCAAACCTCTGCCACCCAAGGCTCAGGGACCATTGTGGAAGAGGGGGTAGAAAGATTGTAAGAGCCAGAGGTGGTGGATGACCACAAGGAAACAGAGTTTTCCAGAGAAAGTTACTCATATGAACTTACAGCAATGGTACAGCATGTACAAGACTCATGCAAGCTCAAGCCAGACAAAAATCCCAGTATAGAAGTGGGAAAGCGGGTAAGAAGCCCCAACCTTAGCTGAGGAACTACTGGCTACTGATAGCTACTAGGAGAGGGAGAATTGGTTTTCTTTAAGGGTGTGATGCTAGATAAGTTAATTAGGCTCCAGTTGATGGATGCACATGGAAGGACATTTGGGGGCAGGAATTTGATGCAATAGGCCTTAATATATATGAGAGGGTACATGAAATTCAGTGGGGGGTGAGGGGCCTATAAAGAGGTGCAGATAAGGATGGGAGCCTAAATATGATCAAAATATATTGTATGAAATTAAAAATATTCAGTAAAAATAAAAAAATATTTTTTAAAAACTGGAAAGCAAAACAAAAGGCAAACATACAAACTGACACCTTACTTGAGTGGCAGTCTAGAGGTGAGCAGGCCCACGGTGTGGGCTGGTAGGTGGCGGACATACTGAACAGTATGGCTTCAACTGAACTGGCTTCAACAGTTACTTCAGCCTGTGGGAAAGGGAGCCTAGATCAAATGTCCCCAAGGAGGTGTCCTAAAAATGCCGCTTCTGCAGATACCACTTGGCTAGAGCTTGATCACGTGGCTACTCCTGTTGCATGGCAGATCAGGAGTATAGATATAGGTGGCCCTATATTTAGCCCAAACTTGGAACCACCAGTACAGACTATAACTCTTGTACAAAAAGTGCCCCAGTTCCTAGTCCAGGAGTCTTTCCAGTTCATTTCATTGTAAGATGCACTTCAACCTGCAATGGGTAGAATCATGGGCCACTTTCATACTTGTTTCTGTTGGCATAGCACTTTGAGTTCTTCAGAGTGTTCCCTGGTACTGTGGCCCTACAGCCCTACAGTAAGCCTCACTTTGTGGATAAGAAAGCTGAGGCATGCTGACATCAGAAGGCCTAAGATTAATATCTGCTGATCCACACAATAGATATTAGTCCCAGGTCTCTTGACTGCAACATATATCTTGCCATTATAGTCACTGTCTATACTAAGACAAAAATAATGTATAAACCTGAAGAAACTCAAATAAAGAACACCAGCCATTTGGGATCCTTGCCATTTGTCTTTCCTTTCCTTACAATTATTAAACTCCGTATTTTTCAAGTTTCTTTGGTCTCAGAACCTCTGCCTCTTTCCCACCAAAGTAAGCATTGTGATCTAAATGCATGCAGCACACATTCAAAATAAATTCCTGAAATACATTTAATGTAGTGTTACATTTACTATTGTGCTGTTTAGTTTGCATTTGCTTTATATGTTACATACCATTATACAGTGAAGTATGTATACATTATTTGCATGCTCTACATATATTTACATATGTCTTAATGTATTCATTTTAATTCATCATCATCCAATCTCTCTCTCTCTCTCTCTCTCTCTCTCTCTCTCTCTCTCAAAATAGTTTGAGGCATTGTCTTCCATATTAATAGTATCTTTACCTAGAAGTTTCAGAAACCTAATTGTATTGCAAATTAAAGATATTTGTATTCAGATACACAGTTCTTAGGGAATGAGACCAATAAACAAATAAGGCAGTACATTCTTCTCTGGTAGCTTTAAACAGCCAACCACAAAATATTCCACTCCATTATTACCAGGAACAGATCAGAAGATCACCAATAGTTTTTGCTTCTAACACTTTATAGACCTTGACTTAGTAATGTTTTTATTTTTACTTTTTCGGAAGATCAGTTGTACCTGATGTTTCATAGAAATCACGTGCTAGACTGTAATAATTGTGTTTTCTATCATGTCAAGGTGTTATATCACCTTAACTCAGTCTCTTCATCTGACCATGAGCGGAGCTCCAGCAGGCCCAGCTGGAACAGGAAAAACAGAAACCACCAAAGACCTGGGCCGTGCCCTGGGCATGATGGTCTATGTGTTCAACTGTTCTGAGCAAATGGACTACAAAGTAAGTTATTAATCCTAAAAAAGTAGGGCATTAATCCTATTTAGAATGAGCCATACACCTTACCCAGAATGCTTAGGACCTAGAAGTGAGTCTCATCTCAGAACTTTTCAGATTTTGATCTATTTTCTTCATTTTTTGTAAATCTGTATGAGTGTATTGTCTGCATGTATGTGAGTGCACCCATGTTATGCAATGTCCTGGAGGTCAGAAGAGGCTGTCAGATTCCCCTGGAGTTAGGAATGGTTTGTAGCTGCTATGTAGGTGGCTAGGAATTGAACCTGGGTCCTCTGCAAGAGCAGTCAGTGCTCTTAACCACTGAGTCATCTCTCTAGCCCCTGATCTATTTTCATATCCACAATGAGATATCTTAGGTGTGCAGTCCAAGTCTAAACATGAAATTCATTTATATTACACATATACCTATTGCAGACTAAAGAGGACTCTACCCAATAGTTTCAGTAGTTTTGTGCATGAAACGGAGTTTCATGGTCTGGAAAATTTGTCACTTTGGATGTTATGTTGGTGCCCAAAAAGGTGTTGGATTCTGCAGCGCTTTGCAGTTCAGATGAGGGCCACTCAACCTGTAAGTGCTCCAAACCCTCTTTCTTACACTCTGTCCACCTCACTCCATCATTTAGTCCATAGGAAACATCTACAAAGGTCTGGTACAGACAGGTGCATGGGGCTGCTTCGACGAGTTCAATCGCATCGCTGTGGAGGTTCTGTCCGTGGTGGCAGTGCAAGTGAAGATGATCCATGATGCTATCAGAAACCAGAAACAGAGGTGGGGCTGAGGCTTTCCTCTTTCCTTTTCATTATTTTTTTAAAAACTTTTGAGAATTTGGTGTCTGAGTATACTGTATTTACATCATTTCCTCTCCCCCCTCCAACATCTCCCATGTCTCCCCACTCTGACTTAAAGTCATGACCTTATTCTATAATTATTATTGTTTCATACACACACACACACACACACACACATACACACACACACACAAAACTTACTGAGTCCAATTAGTGTTACCCATACATACATGTGTCTAGGGCTGACCACTTGGGAACTTGGGATTGGATAGATAACCTATCAGGGGGCTCATCTCTGAAGAAAACTGATTCTCCCTCCCTCAGCAGCCATTGCTTGCATTGCTTGCCTTGTGAAGTTTTCCCCATCTACACTGGCATGTGGACTGGTATGGTAACTGTGCAGGTCTTGTACAGGCAACAATATTGTTGAGATTTCATGGGTGCAACTTCCCTGCTACATCTAGAAGATAATGTCTAGGCCTCCTGGTCTTCTGGTTCTTATCTTCCCACCCTTCTCCCACAGTGCACAAGTGATCTTACCTTTGCAGTACATTTCCATCCTACCTCTCTGTGTCTCATGAAATGAATAAAGTAAGAGGATAGCTAATTTTGAGTTGTGATTATTTTTATTACTGATTTTGTGTTGAATATAGCAAAGCCAGGCTGCGTTACTTTAATCACTAAATGCACATCTATGATGCTGAGTCCCAATGAGGTTTCAGTCCTCAGCTTTCTTGACCTCCTGGCAGGGCTATTTCCTACTGCTGGGCATGCTTGCTTCATGCAGTGTGTAAGCCATCCCTGCTCCCACTTTCATCTTGCATCACAGCTACTGCATTCTGGTTTCTTCTCACTTGTAAAGAATACTACCTATCTTAAAGATCTCTGTGGTGATTAATGGAAGGTACTTAGACAAGGTTCTAGTACCTGAGGCACTAATGTTGGATATCACAGGCTCAGTCCTTAGAGTTCTTTTCTCTGTCTCTATTTTCTCCCTTTGTGATTTTATCCAGCACCTTAACTTTTTTTTTGTTTGTTGTTTTTGTTTTTGTTTTTTTGAGACAGAGTCTCCCTGTAGCCCCAGCTGTCCTGGAACTCACTATGTAGACCAGGCTGGCCTTGAACTCACAGAGATCCACCTGCCTCTGCCTCCCAAGTGCTGGGACTATAGGCGTGCACCACCACACCCTAGCTTTTTTAAATCTCCATGCTACTGACTCCCAGGTGTCTAGACTTCCTGTCCTCTCATCTTTAGGCTTCTGGGCTGCCTATGGGAAACTAAAGAATTCACCTGAGGTCTTCTAAGCCTCTCCTACTTAATATATCCCACATCAAAGTCCTGATTCTTTCATCAACACATGCTTTTTCTTTTTTTTTTCTTATAAATTTTATTTATTATTTCTATTTTATGTGTATGAGCATATTGCCTGCATGTAGATAAATGCATTCGTGATGTGCAATGCCCTCGGAGGTCAGAAGAGGCTGTCAGATCCCTTAGGACTAGAGTTACAGACAGTTGTTAGCTGCTATGTGGGTGCTGGGATTCGAACCTGGGTCTTCTGCAAGAACAACCAGTGTTCTTAACTGCTGAGCCATCTCTCCAGCCCGAATACATGCTTTTTCATATCCCATTACAATGGGTGATACCTTCACATTCTTCCAGTAACTGGGAACAAAATTTTCCAGAATCATCTGAAATCCAAACACTTCTTTCCATGATGTCACATACCAAAAGCCAAAATAATTAAGAGCACTGGCTACTCTTGCTGAGGATCCAGGTTCAATTCCTAGCACCCATATGGTGGTTAATAACCATCCATAACTCCAGTTCCAGGGGAGTCTGACACCCTTATCTGTTTGCCATAGGTATTACACTACATGGGTACACTCACATGCATACAGGCAATACACTCATGTACATAAAATAAAAATAAATATTTGGGGCTGGAGAGATGGCTCAGTAGTTAAGAGCACTAGTTTCTCTTGTGGGAAAACCTGGGTTCAAATCCCATCACCCACATGGGGGCTAACAACCTCTGTAACTCTAGCTCCAAGGGATCCAACATCCTCTTCTGGCCTCCACTGGCACTGCATGACATGGGTGCACTTACATACATGCAGGCCTAACATTCATACACATAAAATAAAAAGAAATTTTTTAAAAAATTCAAAAGGCAAAACACAGGGCTGGAGAGTTGGCTCAGCAGTTAAGAGCACTGACTGCTCTTGCAAAGGACCCAGGTTTGATTCCCAGCACCCACATGGTGGCTATGAACTGTCCTTAACTCCAGTTCCAGGGGACTCTGAAGCCCTCTCTGACATCTGCAGCATTGCACGACACAGGTGCACTCACATACATGCAGGCGATACACTTATACACATAAAATAAAAATAACATTTTTTTTTAAAAGGCAAAACACAACAAGCACTTAGGGTTTGATGGCTAAAGCTGAAGAATAAGCAAATCTGTTCTCTTGGTAACTTCCTCTCCTCTCTCTTCCTCTCTTCTCTCTCTCATTCTCTCTCTCCTCTCTCTCTCTCTCTCCCTGCCTCTCCTTCTCGATACACACACACACACACACACATGCACGCACCCACAGACGCTGAGTACAAGTTCTAGAAGTTTCCAATTTGTCAGGGATACACCTGAATGTTTCCACCTTTTAGAAAACCTCAGTCTTTATTCCATACAGTTCTGAGGCTCAACCTCCTATATCCAAATGTCTGTTGCCTTGCTTGCCCTGCCTCTAATGCCACATTAGAGAAGTTCAGTTCTTGTCTCTTTGATCCCCAGCCATATTGTATTTGGCTTTTAGTCGGAATTGTATTATGAGATGAAACCCAGATGCCATTTGAGGCCATCCTTTGTTATGCAGATTTATGTAACCCAGTCATAAAATGATGTTTGAAAATTCCCAGGCACAGTTGGTGGTAGCTCTGTCTGCATGTCCGATCCTTAGGCTGGCTCTTTGGCAGCTGCAAGGCTCCTTCATGATCTCATGAGATGATTAAAATCATTTTACCCTAGAGGACCTAAGAGATGGAACCATGCTTGACCACAAAGCCTCCCAGTACCTTCTGGTTCCACCTGCTGGAGGCTCCTGTTTTTGGGTGGTGGCTGTTTATGTGGGGAGAATTAATCATGTCCACTACAGCAGCGTCCACCTCTCTTCTTCGAGCACCCTGCTAGCCATGCCTGCCTTCCCTTGTTTGGCAGTCTGGGAAATCATAGTTTTTCCATTTTGACCTAGACTGCTAAAAAAATCCACCTGCTGTTAGCTACCTGGTATCTCCAGCACTGACAGTCCTCTGCATTCATGTGTCTGCCCTCCCTGTTCTGAGACACAGTGTCAGTCCACCCATTTCCCCCAAGAGATCTTGCTGACGCCACCTTACATTTTGTCTCTTTGGTCCCTTCTGAAACCTGCTTGTACCTGCCTTTTTCCTGGCTCCTGCTGCCTGCTACACTTCATTGCCCTGGTCATTTAACAGTCTAACCAGACCCTAATAATTGCTTTTTCTGAAAAATCATTGCTTTTGCCCAGCTTTGACGTGGTAGTGATAGCAGTAGTTGTAGCTAAGTACTCACTGGGTCCCAGCATCTGTATTCCTGATTTTTCAAATCCTCCTATAATCTAATAAGGTAAGTACGGTCATTCTCTTTTTTTATTAGCAGGGGAAAGTGGAACATAGAGAGGGTAATTAGCATGTCTAAAGTGACATAGATGGACTGTGAACTTGGAGTCTGGCTCCAGAGCCCGCTGTCCTGACAACTGAACTGCGCTTCTGTTCAGAAGTGCTTAGTAGACACTCACTGAATGAACAGGAGGGAGGGCAAGTAGATTAGCAAATAGATGGCAACTGAACAGTGAGTCCCCTTCTCCTCTTAGCACAGACTTTCTTGATCTACTTAATATCCCATTCAAGAAATTGAAGGCAAAAATGTCATCACCTTTCTCTCAGTGTTAAGTAGTCAAGGCTTCATGTTTACTGGCCATGCAAAATTAAAAAAGGAATGCTTCCAATATTGTGATTCTTGAGGAAAGGACTGTATTTTTAATAAACATGCTTCAAAATATTCAAAATATGTATGCTTATCAATCTTCAAGAAATTACCCAGGATAAACAGTTTCCTAATAAGAATTTGCATTTTGCAGTGGCTTGCATTTGTCACTGTGCATTTGTATTCAGTAAACACATTTAATTCAGTCATCGCTCTCTTTATGGTAGATTTGTATTTCTCGGAGAGATGATCACACTGAAGCCGTCAGTGGGAATATTTATTACTATGAACCCAGGATATGCTGGTCGGACCGAATTGCCAGAAAATCTAAAGGCTCTTTTCAGGCAAGTGCTATGCCTTGCAGCTGCATCTGGTGCGCTCATGCCACCTAACGTTGGTTTGCTCTGATAACGTGATTCATTTTACCAGAGAATTCCTATGAAAACTGACTTCTTTATACAGATAATCCCATGATAAATTCACCCTTGTGAATTATGGAAACAGCATGCAAATCAGTATGTAAAAATTATATAAATTTAAGTAGTTAATATTAGCTTGTTATGATGCTTTGTTATAAACACATTTTTTAGCAAATTAGGACATCTTTGGAAAATAAAGGAAAGAATAAAGAAAAGTTATATCACCACACAGAAATAATGACTGCTATATCATTTCTAATCTCTTTTATAATTTATATTTTATGAAATTAAGATATACTAGGCATGGTTTTTATTTAGTTTTGTTCATTTAATATTTTGACATATATATTTTATCATGTTATTGAGAATGCTTCAGAAATATATTTTATCATTTTATGTAACTCCAGAATCATCTCTCTCAAGGCTTATCCATATTTTCTTCATCATCCATTATTTTTTATATGCAGGGCTTGTTTTTTATGATAATAAAATAGCAAGCCATAAACAGCTATCTCTATGAAAAATTATTCTTGTTTCTGGGCACTGTCCGCAGAAAAAATTCCTTGTGTGTATGTGATAAGTGTGTGTGCATCTGTGTATGTGCAGTGCTTGTGCGTGTGGAGGCCAAAGGATGGCATTTGGTGTCTTCCCCAGTTGCTCTCCACTTAATTTTTCGAGGCAAGGTCTGTCACTGTACTTGGAGCTCATCAATTCAGCCATCAAGCCCCAGGGATTCTCCTGTCTCCACTGCCCAAGCACTGGGATTACAAGTATGTGCCACTATACCTGGCTTTTACATGGATGCTGGAGATTGAACTCGGGTCCTTGTGCTTGTGCAACAAACATGTTTGATTGTACTACCCTCCTCCCCTTCCCAACTCCAGAATAGATACTTAAAGGTAGAATAACCAGGTGATGATTAAAATGTATTGCTGATCTGCTTTCCAGAAACTCTCTGCTAATGTATACACCGCCAGCAGTCTATAGGAGACCCTACATGTCTGCCTCCAGTACGACTTAGGATCCAGTCACCTTTGGCATTACTTCCTTCATGAATAATATGCTGCAATGGCATGCTTCCATTTAAAACACTATAGAAGTCAAAATATAGAAGATAGGTCCCGTGCTCTCAGAAGTCTTCTTGTACTGCTTTGAAGCTAACCCCCTCTGTTCCACATGAATTCTCTGTGATTATAGATTAAATTTATCTTTCTTGGAGTTTGTGTAAATCCCATCTTCTTACATTATGGGTTGTGATCCCATATGGAGTCAAGTAACTAAATGCACGTGCACGCGCGCGCACACACACACACACACACACACACACACACACACACACGTTTGGCACTTAATGCTTTTGGGGACCTCTCTCCAGCTGATCCATAGTTTCCTGAGTATCCTGGCTTGGCTTGGGAATTTCTAAAATGGCCCTAAGCATCCTTTTGCCACTTTTGTGTTCACAAAGCAGCATCTCAACGTTGATGATTATAAAAATCAAAATATTGGTCAATATTTTTACTTTTCAGTATCAAATAGCCAAAATTCAATTCTTTGTGTAAAATAATTAAGTTCATACATTTCATTGGCATGTGAATTTGCTTTCATCTTTGATAAAAGGTAAAATTATATATACACACACCAAAGAATTGTTTTACAATCTTTCTTTATGATTTGTTATCAGTCAATGTTTTATTTGTATATCTATATATATCATATATCAGTATCATCTAAAACGTTCTTGGGCAAAAAGATCGCAAATAGGAAAAGCTTAGAAAAGTCTGTGGAGATGAAGCCAGAGTGTGTGTCCTTACCTCTGCCTGGCATCATTATCTGTTTTGATATTCATCCAAGTTGTTTCACTCATCAGGGGTCTATTGCCTTTAGTCACTGATTAGTATTCTGTTGTATAGATATATCACAACTTGTTCGTCCATTCACCAGTTGATGAGCATTTGCATTGTTTCCAATTATGGGCTATTATGAATAAAGCTGCTGTGAACATCTATGTAAGTCTTTGCATGAACACATTTTTATTCCTTTCAGCTGTGTAGCTAAGAATGGAATTGCTTGTCACGTGGCAAATGCATGTTTCACTTAGGAAAAAGTGTGATCTCATTGCTAAAGCTACTGCACTTTTACACTTTAATTATTAATGTGTGAGAATTTCCGTTGTTTTATGTTCTTGTCAAAATCTGGCATTGCTGGTCTTCTTAGCTTTAACTGATCTGATAGATGCATAGTAGTGCATCATTACGGGTTTACTTTGTATTTCCATGAATGCTCGTGATGCTGAGTATTTCTTCCTGTTCTTATTGGTCATCCCCATATTATTGTGTGTGAAATACTGTATTGTGCATACAGTTCCTTTACTAGATACATACAGTGCAAAGGTTATCTCTTTATTTTATAGCTTGACTTTTTGTAGTATCAGTGGTGGTCAATCAAAGACAGAAGCTTCAACTTTCATGACCTGTAATTCATCCATTTGTCTTGGCTTTCTAATATTCTATCCAAGAAAGTTTACTTAGCCAATGCCTGCAAATTTTTTAAGTATTCTTTTTTTTCACAGTGTTTTTTTCCTTATAGTTTTTTTCTATTACTCTGCTTATTTACTGAACCATATTAATTGATTTGTAATAGCCAAACAACCCCTTAATCCTTCACTCCTGGGACAAACCCCACTTCCTTAGGAAGTATTATTTTTGTATGTATTATTAAATTCAATACACTGCTCTTTTGTTATGGGTTTTTAAATATCTGTTCCATGAGGGATATCAGTTTGTAGTGTTCTTTTTTATAATCTTTTTCTAGTTTTGGCATGAAAATAATGTTCACATCATGACATTAGGTGGCAGGTGTTCTCTGTTTTCATAAGATTTTGTATAGGATTGCTATTATTATTCCTAAAGTATTCGATAGAATTAATCAGGACATGACCTGGACCTAGATTTTCCTTCATGGACCTCTTTTTAGTAATTAATTTCTTTAATAGATATGAAGTTATTGAGAATTTACTTCTCCTTGAATTAATTTTGATGATCTACATCTTTTAAGGACTCTATCCATGTAATGTCAGTATATATGTACTTCATCATGGTTTTTATTATCATATTTTTTTCAGTAATAATGTCCTGAATTCTATGCCTGATAGGGATAATTCATGTGTTCTTCCTCTTTTCCCTGAAGGATAAGCTAAGGGTTTAGTAGTTTACTTTTTAGAAGTTCCTTAGCATTGGTGGTTGCCGTCTTCAGCTGCTCAGCATGCCTTCAGCACGCCTTCAAAAGAATAAAATGTCTCTTTACATACATTATAAGAACCTCTATAGTTTTTAGTGTGATTTCTTTTAATTCTTTTACATTTAAAATATGCTATCCATCCATTTCTATATTTAACCATATTTCATTTACATTTTCTTCTAATTTTTATGGAATTACTTTTTAAATGTAATTCATCTAATGAGAACTTTGGTAGGTAATAGAAATGAGTATTTAATTCTTTTCCCTAATAGTCATCAAATATTCTAACATCCCATATTGAATGTTTTTCTTTCTTCATAATAACAGCTTTCTCTAGCATAGTAATTTTATGTCTAATTTTCTTGAAGAACTCCTAGCTGGAGAATAACTGCCCTGGCAGTGAATGTAATGATTACAGAACAGTTTTGTTTGAGAATTGTATACCGTCTTCAATGTTTTTACATTTCTGACATAATTTATCTCGTGTACTTTTTTTCAGTTTGGTCTCAAATTTTTAAATTGCTTTGACATTTTCATAAATGTTGTCTAATGACTAAGTACAGCTTCATTTGTGTTATGTTGTTACCTGTGTCAGGGGAGTCTGGAGGAAGCAGGTCTTATATCTGAATGGGGCAGTGTGGTTTGGCCCTAAAGGTCTCCACATTCCACCACTTATCAACAATAATGTGACCTACAGTGTATGTTGAAACTTCTGGGGGCATCCATGAGCCTGTACCTCTGTAAAAGACAGACGTGAAGAGTAGACAGATTTTAAGTTGTGAGAATTAAATGGGAGAGGGCAGGAGAAGCATTTGACTTCCCATAGTGCATGATATAAGTGTTCAGTAAATATTAGCATCTACGGCTAGGGATGTAGCTCATGTTAGACAGTGATGCTTAGCATGTGCTAGGCCCAGGGTTCAGTTCCCAGCACCGTAAATGGATGTTAAAGATTTAAAAGGAGGAGAAAGGAAGAAACAACAGATGGTAACTGGGTTGGAGAAGAAAGACAAAATACTGTGTATCCACCCCACACATGGCTTGGAATTAGACTATTTCGAAGAGTATAAATGGCATAATTAAATCCATTGTTTTGTATACTAACTAAAAAGTTAATAAAAGAACTCTTCTCTGTATTAATCTATGTGTAAATAAGTGTGCACAGTCCTTTCTCTTCCTTGCTTTTCATTTTTAGTTCTGTTGTACAATGAGTAGTAAATGTACGAGGCTTATGTATTCATTTGCTTTCATTCCCTTTGTACTTGAGTGGAAATTGTTTTTTACTGTTGCTGTCACTGGCACTTGCCTTGAAAGACAACTCTTTGGAAACATTCTTACATAAAAAGATGAATTTGAAACTATGTTTTTCTTTTAAAAATATTTAATTTTTTAATTTTATTTTATGTGTATGAGTGTATTGTCTGCATGTACATAAGTGCACCCATGGCATGCAATGCCCTCAGTGGTCAGAAGAGGGCATCACGTCCCCTGGAATTGGAGTTAGGACTGTTGTTAACCACCATGTGGGTGCTGGAAACTGAACCTGGGTCCTAAGTAAGAGCAGCCAGTACTCTTAACTGCTAAGCCATCTTTCCAGCCCCGAAACTATGTTTTTCTAAATTTTCATCCACAAAACTCCTCCCCACAGGCCCCAGGCAGTACTGTGCTTGAGCTGACTGATACACACTTTTGAGAGCCAATGATTAAATGTTCGTGAATTTTGTGAACTGGTTGTTAAGCACAGCCCCTAGTGGAAACGAAAATATTTTCATTAAATAAATTACAGCAAAGGTGATTAATACTCAAAACTCATAACTTCATCATCTTAATACTCAAAACTCATAACTTCATCTTTTGCTGTACTGATGCTCTGTCTGGTATATCTCTACGGTGCTGCTCCACGGCCTAGTTCTTCCTAGCTCCACATATAAGTGATGGCTGGACACTTAAGCAGCCATGAACAAAGGGTTTATTTCATGGAAGTCAGCAGATGCTGTTTTCTGGACTGCTTGTGCTCAGCCTTCACCCCCACACTGCTAGCCACAGCTAAAGGCTGGCCTCTAACGCACAGCATCACTGTTCCTCTCCTTGCAGGGAATACATTAATGCTGGAGGATGAGAGCCTGGGGTGCAGCCCCATGGCAGAGAACAGGCTTACTGTACTTGTGCCCTGAGTTCAATCCCCAGCACCAACAAGCAAACAATTACAAACTCCAAACAGGGAAAAAAGAAGTTAATGTAACATCATAAGCCTGCATTGTCTAGGAACTTGCCTACCCAGGCTTCTGCCATTTCCACTGTTTCATCCTCTCCTAAGTGTCCAGTGGACATGTTTTAGTTGAACTGAAGGGTCTTGTTAGCTGTGATTGACAGAGGCAATTATGACCTGCTTCGAAGTGGTGAGACTGTTGGTACAGACTAATCCCTTGATTTAAGCAATTTGTAATACATGACCTTACCACATTTTAAAATGAAATCTCCTATTTACCCATCAGACCCTGCGCTATGGTGGCCCCCGACATCGAGCTGATCTGTGAAATCATGTTAGTGGCAGAAGGGTTTGTGGACGCGCGTTCATTGGCCCGGAAGTTCATTTCACTGTACACGCTCTGCAAGGAGCTCCTGTCCAAGCAGGTGAGGACTCTGCTGCATTTCCTTTGTTTTCACGTTCTATTAAAAGAGCTTATATATATATGGATACTGGATAATTTTGCATCTAAATGACATTTAGGAATGATTTTGTATTTTCCACAGGATTTTGAAAGTGTGTATTTTACAAATCTTTTTTGCTGATTAAATTTGAGACCCTTAATGTGCTAACATCTTGTACTTTATACAGCTATTTTTACCAATGTGATGTATGATTTTCTCTAAGCATCATTGATACTAGAATTATAGAGGACATTTCACTTGCCTCCATTTCTTGGTGAAAATGTTTTCTAGTGGGAGAAGTCAAGAAAGTTCAAAAGAGTAAGGTGAAGATAGTTTTCTGAAAAACATCCTAGAAATGTTTTTTTCTCCATTGTTGCTAATCTTTTATTTGAAGATATGCTGGGACTGGGCTTTATTTTTTTTGTTTTGTTTTGTTTTTTGTGCTTTTGTTCTATAATTCTCTAGTCTGTGAAATAGGTTAAATTTACCTACTTTCCACTCTCACTGTAGGCTTCCTGCAGGTTTGTTGAAGTTGCTGATGTGCCACAAAAAAATACGTGTCTGCTCGAGTAGTTTTTTTAATTTTTAAAATATTTTCTTTATCGTTTGTATTTTATGTGTATTGCCTGCATGTAGGCATTACACGGGTAAGTGCACCCATGTTGTGCAATGCCCATGGAGGACAGAAGAGACTGTCGGATCCCCTAGAACTGGAGTTACGGACAGTTGTTAGCTGCCGTGTGGGTGCTGGGATTTGAACCCAGGTCTTCTGCAAGAACAGCCAGTGTTCTTAACATCTGAGCCATCTCTCCAGCCTGGGTATTTTTTTATATAGCTTTGTGATCACCTTTGGTCTTTTCATGATCTTTCATTAATTCCCTGTGACATTAGTTTGCAGCTGTTACATAACAGGGATATTAAAATATCAGTTTTTAGCCATGCAGATAATCTGTGTTGCCCAGTGTATTCATTTTAGCCTGCCCACTGTTAGGGTGAAATATGGAACCTGAGAGATAAAGTTGTACTGCCCTCTCTACTGTGAGCTTGCATCTAGGGGAAAAAATTGGGACATTTAATAGCATGGGAAAGCCTTGTACAGCATTATTGAATGCGAAAGCAGCATGCTAGACTCAGCATAGATCTCTTACTGTTCATGTGTCATACTTTATTATGTGTTCTCTTTATATATGGAATGGCTAGAAAAAGTCATGATATTTGACAGTTGTTACTGGAGAGTAAGACTATTGCTATTTCCATTTTCCTTTATAATCTTGAAATCTTTTAAAACATAAAATTTCATTTGAAATTTATAATGAGAAAAATTCTATTTCCTAGGGAAAATGGAATTGCAACCATGTCCACTGCCAGTAGTGATGGTTAAACATTTGGTGACGGTCTACTGTACCCAAGTGGTATGCTTATTGTGGACAGGGACAGAAGGGTAGGATAGAAAAAATGAAACAAATACCCACATTTCTGACTTTAACAAACTGGGAGATTCAGTTGTATGAAATAAAAATGGGAATAAAATAGAAACTAAAAGGACCAGCAGAGTCCTCAAGGAGCAAAAAAGCCAGTATTTGTTGAATGGATGCCATTTATGGTGTTTTGTTTTGTTTTGAGATAATGCCTTACCCTGGAGCTCAGGCTGGCCTTGAACTCATTATTTGTCAGACTAACCTCAGTCTCACAGCAATCCTCCTGCCTCAACCTTCTGAGTACTGTGATTACAGGTATGTACCACCATACCCAGCTCCAAGTGTTATGTTTTAGAATGTCAAGACTCCAAGTTTGGTAGTACCGGTCCTACTGAGGGATGAGAAAACTATAAGAAATAACCTAAGATCCTTAGCCAACAAATGATGGGGACCTGATGTAGATGTTTATTTCTAATCTTGTCTAGGATACCAGCTGCCAAATACAAGAGGAAGGCTGGGGAACAAGGTAGAACAAGAGAACAGAGTTCTTGAACTGAGAAAGATATTCTGAACAATATGAGAAAAAGAAAATCTGGTAGGACAGGAGAGCTGAGTTAGAAACACAGTTCAGAGATGGTTCTGAGCTACAGGGATGGCTTTGAAAGAAGAGTCAGCAAATGATTCTGAGGAAAGGAATAAAATTAGAAGAAAGTAGAAAATGTAAAGTTTTATCAGAGTTCTTTAAAATCAGTGTTCATTGAATGGTATAAGAAAACGTGAGTGTAATATTTAGGTGTAGTCTATTGAGTATAATATTCAGGGGATCACAAAGAGCTCTGACTCTCCTGCTAGACCCTCTTCTCCATCCTCTCCTTTGGCATCGTTTCTGCAGGGATTGGCCCCATCCAGTCTCTGTGCCTCCAGAAACCACCTTGCCTCTCTTTCCTTCCCCATCCTTAGTTGACTTTCATACCAGTGACTTTCAAATGACTTCTTCTATGACCCATGATTTAAAACACTTTTCTATTGTATGTGCGCACCCATATCCATGCACAACTGAACCAAAAATTTCACCAAACAATCCTGACCCTTACCTGTATCACACTCTGGTGTTTTTTTTTTTTAAATTCTGTTCTCCTCTATTTTATTACAAACAGAAATGATGGCCACAACCTATTAATTTGATTTTATTATCCACCAATGGATGAAATGGCATGACCATACCATATCACTGCCCACATGCATTGGTTCCCACATTAGCTATTTAATCCTGCAACCACTTATAAAATAGATGACTGCTTCTATCTTCCTCTTTGTAGATGCTGCTTCTGAGGCTTGCAGAGGAGAGGTGACCTGCCTGAAGGCATGGCTGAGAAACATTTGGGAAAAGGGTTGTGGATGGGGTTGGGGGTGGGTGCAAGACCAGTCACCCAAAGTCAATCACTTTTGAATCAGGTTCATTCAGTATATCTTTACTGAGCACCAACCCTCTACCAGACTTCGTTGCTGGGACTCAGAAGACCAAAGGAAACAGAAAGCATCATTATCTCCCCCCAAAGTGGGATTCACTGGGGATGATACGGGGGTATCAGAGAAGTGTTGATTCGTCATAGAACTTTAGCAATATGATTTTTATTGAATTTAATGCCGTCATCAGATCAGGGTTGTCTAAGTGATTGAGATGGTAATTAGGGTGGCTAGATGTTGAAGGCTGGGAATGGGCACATGGCTGGAACAAAACTCACAGGGTAGAAGGGAACAAATGGACCAGTCATTGTTCTGATCCAGCAACTTGATCAAGGGAAAAAAGCAGGGGAGGGAGGTGAAGCCCTGGGCAGAAGCTACAAGTAAATGCTATAGAAAGAAAAGATTTTCTGAGAGAAGCTAGAGAATGGTTGAAAGAAACATGACACATCTCAGGAACAAGACTTTTACAAAACCTATACAAGGTCAAGCTAGCCAAAATCCCAGGTGGATGACCTCCGGCCCCACCTCTCATTAAGGAGCTACTAGCACTGGATAGTTGCCTGGGGAGGGAGAATCAATTTTATTTTGAGGATGTGGCCACTGCTAGGTTGCCCATGTTCCAGGGATGGTCCTATACCCATGCATGTAGAGACAATATTGGCTGGACTTGGTGGGTTATAAAAGAAAAGGTGTGAAGTTGGGAGGAGGCACGATGGGTTGAAAGTGACATGGGCTCAGAGGGGATGGGGGCACATATGGTCATATTTCATTGTATGCCTGTATGAAAGTCTCAAAAATTAAAAATTAAAGATCTGTATTATTTAATTTCAGAATTAACTATTTTCAATCACCAAAATGTATATTTATCTAAACTCTTTTAGTTTCCAATTTTAACATCTGGAATGAGCATCTCATGCAGCTCTTGAGAGAATGTACTTATGCTTTGGTTTTAGGATCATTATGACTGGGGACTTCGTGCTATTAAATCTGTCTTGGTTGTTGCTGGCTCCCTGAAACGAAGAGATAAAAATAGACCTGAAGACCAGGTACTGCAGTGCCAAATGGTTTTTGTGGAATGAATAAATAGCTTCAGATGGATGGAAGTATATACCTGGCTGGGGCGCACACACAGCTCAACTTCTAAAACATCTGTGCTTAAGGCAGGGTATTTTTAAGGACTGGCATTTCTTGGAAGCAGTCACAAGTATCCTTGTGACACAGTACAGAGATAGGAATCTGGGAAAGAAAATGTGATTTTTATATGAGCCTTTGAAATATCAACCATGATAAGTATTAGACAGATATAAAAAAAATAATTCAGCAATCACCAATTTCTTTTGAGGGACATTTAGTTGGGATATTGATTTTGAAAAGTCAATGAACATACAGTCTAATGAGGGAAAGGACATCCATCGCCTGGGATATCTGTAAGATGGGCGTGAAGTGAAGAGGTCACCTGACACAGTGAGCTGTTGAGAGGCTGTACAGAGTCTCTAGGGAAATGTTCTGTATGTCTACGTAGACAGAAAAGGTAACTGCACAGCACACATCTCCCCTATTTAAGGAGTACTGACAGTGAGTGGTGTGCAACACTATGTATATACGCAGTGTAGTTTGAATCACAGGAAAAAAACAGGTCCATTCAGTAAGCTCTTTTTATGTTAAGGGTATTATATTTTTAAAATTGGCTAATGTTCTCTTCTTGGTCTCCACTCAATTTGCCCTCTGTGGTGACTGTTGATCTATGGTGACTGTTGACCTGTGGTGACTGTTGATGGAAGGGTCAGCTCTCTATATACAATTTATTCTGTTGTTTGAGTTACTGCTTTTAAAATCAAATATTCTCTTTAGTTTTTAGTCAATGTAAAACAAAAGTTCAAACTAAAAATGTGTACAGTTCTGATTTGGAGACTGCTGAGTACTTTGAGCAAAGTGAGCTGATGGCCAGTGCTCAACCTAGAATCTGAGTCTGGCCGTGGGAAGAGAAGGGCTGATCAGAACAGACCCCTGGCAGAGTGGGAGGGGCCTCCTTGCTCATCTTGTTCTGAGGCTTGTCTGTGGTCACTTTCCATACTCCCATTAGCCTCCAAACATCTACCTCCCTGAGGACAGGTCCTTACCCCAGCCAAGAACAGTGCTACCATCTAAGGCTTAGATACAAGGGCTAAAAATGAATGTTAGTTACGGTATTCATTAGACCTTGAACTGGCATTTTTAAATTGCATTTAATTTTAGATGGTACCTAACCTAAAAGTTACACATATCAGGGGTAATTCATGATGCTTTGATGTGGTATGTATTATGTAATGTTTAAGTCTATCTCCTCAAACATTGATCATTTGCTTGTGGTTTAATGCAGTCAGAATCCTTTCTTGTAGCTGTTTGAGGTGTATGGTGTTGGTCTTTTGATACCATGTCTTCTGTCCTCTTTCTGAGGTACTTATGCGAGCATTAAGGGACTTCAATATGCCTAAAATAGTAACAGATGACATCCCAGTGTTCCTGGGCCTTGTCAGTGACCTGTTTCCAGCCCTGGATGTTCCTCGGCAGAGGAAGCCACACTTTGAACAGATGGTCAAGCAGTCCACCCTGGAGCTCCGCCTGCAGCCGGAGGAGAGCTTCATCCTCAAAGTAACAAGAGCATTTACTGTTCATGGCAGGCATGGGATTTGCAATCCAAATAACTGCTTAAGTAATCCAAAACATTAATTTATATTACAGTGGCTTTAATATTATGTTATTAAATACTTCTAGGCATTTCATATGATAGTCAACTAAAGTAAATGGAAGTCAATTTTTTTGGTATTTAGGCCCTTTCGTTGAGAAGGTAAAAGTGTATAAATGACTGTCATGATTCTATATATAGTCAGATTTTTAATTCATTTAAAAATCTTTTTGGTGACATATACCAATATTTTATTTTATTTTATTTCTCGCTTCTCTCCATTGTAGAATACCAGAAGCAAAATCATTAGTATATGCTTATAGTGTGTAAGGGTTGGGGGGATGTCAGCATGCCTGAGAGGTACACAGGCAGATTCTCTATGACTTATGGAAGGCTGCGCCTAGGCAGGCTGTGTGGGGTCAGTGAATACATGAGCAACAATGCATAACAAGTCTGCATTTCAGGTACTTTATGGGATGTAAGTCATTACTCAGTTGTCAGTGATCTGTTCAAAACTTCATGAAAAATCATTTATTTTATAAGTAACTATCCCTGTCATGTACCAAGCACCACATAAAGTAATGAGTTTGAGTCTGGGGAGATGGTTCAGTGAGTATGAGTGCTTGCTGCCCAAGCATGAGGACCTGAATTTGAATCCCCGTATACCTACATAAAAGCCTGGCATGGCCACATATGTCTACAACCCCAGCATTGTGCAGCAGGAATAGGTGTATTCTGGCTTCATGGCCAGATTCCCTTGACCCTGTTTCAAGGGAAGAACATAGACAGTGCAGGACACCTGCTGTTTATCTCTGGCTTCTGCAAACATGCACACAGGCACATGCACCTGCACACACATGCACCCCCCATACACACACTCTCCACAAAGGATAACAATAAAGTAAAATAGCTTCACCCCACTTTTGCTTCTGCCTTCTACAATGTGTGCTTGTGTTCTGTTTTATTTCCCATGTCAGTGGGCCTGGCTAGGGTTGTAGGAGAGGAGAACTGGGTAATATGGGTCACCAAGTCAATAAAGGGCTTAGTGACCAACTGTCTGTGTGCAGGTTGTCCAGCTTGAAGAACTTCTGGCCGTGCGACACTCCATCTTTGTGGTTGGAAATGCAGGCACAGGGAAGAGTAAGGTATGCTAAATTTCTTGCACCTTTTAGCCTTGAGAGAATCTTCTCTTAGGGGGCATCTACTTCCAATGTTATTTATGTTTCCCTTCCATGAATCCCACCAAAAGTTTTGGTTAGAATCTGAAATTCTAATGTTGCTATGTGATCCATTGGTGCCGTTTCCTTTTATATTGGGTAAAAGAAGAGTACGAAACAGAATATTGCATTCACCGAGGAACACGCCAAATAGATGGCATTCTTCCCCTGTAATGCACACAGTCTTGCCTGGCTGCCTTCACAGGGGTAAGAGTGTTGAGCCTGGGGTGAGGTATCTGCCTGGCAGGCTTTGATGGGTTCTGCCCACATTTGTTCAAACTCCCTTCTTATCTCTTCTAGGTCATCACAGATTCTCCTTCCTGTATCATTAAGAAAAAAAAACACAAATATTTTCCTTCATTGTTCCTTTAGAAATAGAGCCATCCACAGGGCCAACACAAAGCTTGGAAAGAAAAGAAGGTGGTGGCTCCCACTTTTTTGAGGTCCCTATTATGTGCTGGGTTAGGTGCATTGTGTGTGATTTTCTCCACCATGATGATGTGCTGTGGGTGTTATTAAGCCCCATTTTTAGTTTGCGGCTTGATTTTGTTTGGCCTTCCTGACAGTCCTGGCAGCACACTTATTATCTTGGTTGGCAGACGGTGTATGCCGAGCTGCATGCCTTTCCATCCAGAATTCTTGGGTATAAACACACTTGGTGGCCAATAGCTAAAAATAATTGGAATGGGCATATGCGTTCTAGACCATGGCTGCACATAGGACTTGCCTGTCCTCAGAGCTGAATCCAAACGGGACAGTTGCTGAGGAAGGCTCTGTGTGGAGGTTTTGCTAGTGAAAAATGTAGTCATAGAATATTAAAACAGATTACTGATAGACCTATAATTATTTTGTTAGAGTAAGTTTCAGATGTAGGCCATGGTTCATGGAAGGATAAATTTAAATTCTGTAATTTCTAGTAGATTAATGGTTTCTAAAAATATAAGCTGCATATTCCTGAAACACTTCATTTCTTTCCTGTTGTCTTCACCTATTCTGTTCAATGTATTTAGGCAGAGGTCACCAGGACCGTGTTATTTGTCTATTTACCATTCTAATGTAGTAGACAACATTTACCAGTCCTTCAAAACTCCCCAGATTGGTGATGATAATACATATTCAAAACAAAAGCCTTGGCTTTTCAGTGGACACAGAAGGGCAATTAGGCAGGTATTTGGATCAGTTAATTAGCTATTTGCTGAGTGAGCATCGATTGTGTGAGTACTAGTGACATTAGACATGGGATTTTGTTTTATTTGAGGTGCTGTCCCCCGGGCATTTCCAGATGTTGGCAGCACCCCTAGCTCCTATCTACTAGAAGCCCAGTAGCACAGCAATCCTTTCCCCAAGGCAAGGCCACCTCCTGTGAAGACTCACTCACTGTCTTGAGGCCTTGAAGAATGTCCAGACCAGCAGCATTGGCATCTCTGAGCCCTTGTTGGAAATGCACACTATGGGTCCTCCCTCCCTCCTACTTATTGAGAAACTCTGAGAACGCCTCAACTACAAGTGTTGACACCCTCCAAGCAATTCTGAGATGGGCTAACTTATATTGGCAGGGTGATTTTAAACATACAAATGCTAATACACATGTACATGTAGTTAAAGATCCAAAACGATAAACCAACTTTCTCTGGTCTTGATGGCTCAGTGAATCGGGTGAACTGATTCTGTTACCCAAAGCACTCATGGGATTGTAATTTACAAGATGAGGTTGGAAGTGCTCCTGTGCTGGTCTTTCCCACTTTTTCCATCTTAGTACATACAGGCCATCTAGGAACAAACTGAGTAAGGAGGATGCTTCATGAATCTTTTGCTGCTTTTGGCCGACAAGTATTCGTTTTCTTGGCTCACTTCCTCTTCTGGGCAGATTTTGAGAACATTGAACCGAACATATGTTAACATGAACCAGAAACCTGTTTGGAGCGACTTAAACCCCAAAGCTGTGACAACAGATGAGCTCTTTGGTTTCATACATCATGCTACCCGAGAATGGAAAGATGGTAAGTAATAGTTCCCCCTTTGAAGTGCTAAAGAGCTCTTTTTCCTCTCTCTAGAAAGCCGTTTATCAGTCCAAGCCAATTTCAGTGATAGTCACAGATTTACTGTTTGTTGGTGTGATTGGAAGGAGAGCCGATCACAACAGCCTTTAGAACATATAAATTCAAGCAACGTTTACATAAGTGCTTGATTAGCACCCGGTGTGTCCAGGCTCGGAGCTGTGTGTTTTACCCACATCAGTTATGCCAGGGCTCCTTATAAATCAACGGAGAAATACAGGTGAATGCCTCAGAAGTATTTCCGAAGTTCCTGATGGAAGATACTGACTGAATTCAGACAGGCACTGTTGTGGTTATCAGGGACAGAAGGCAGTGGGGCACATGTCCTGCCCTGAAACTCTGAAATTGGGCTCACTTTGAGTTTAAGTTTGGGGTTTCAGAATATTTCAGATTTCTGAGTTTTGGATTAGTGATATTCAATTAGTGAAGCCAATACAAATATTCCAAGATCCCCAAAAGGCTGAAATCTAAAACGCTTCTAATCCCAAGCATTTTGGGCAAGGGATACGGCCTGTATGTGGAGATGAACAGATGCTTTTGTTAAAAGTCTTCGTAAGTTCCCACTACTAACCAATGCACTAACCTTGGTATAATCCTTGATGTCTTTCTCCCCCGAGTCCCTGAAATCCACTTCATATTAGATATTCTAGTCTTTATCTTTAAAATATATATTAGGGGGTCTGGAGAGATGGCTCAGCAGTTAAGAACACTGTTCTTGCAGAAGACCTGGGTTTGAATCCCAGCACCCACATGGCAACTAACAACTGTGGGTAACTCCAGTTCCAGGGGATCCAACAGCCTCTTCTGTCCTCCGTGGGCATTGCATGACATGGGTGCACTTACCTACATGCAGGCAATACATGCATACACATAAAATAAAAAATAATAAATAAAATATTTTAAAAAAATAAAATGTGTTAGGAAGTTGGGTGTGGTGACTGATACCTATAATCCCTGTACTCAGAAGGCTGAAGCAGGAGGATCACAATGAGTTCAAAGCCAGGCTATGCTACATAATGAGTTGCATGCCAGCCTGGGCTACAAGAGGGAGGTGTGAGAGAGACAGAGAGAGACAGGGAGACAGAGAAAAAGGAAGGGAAGGAAGGAGGGAATAAAGAAATAAAGGTATATAATGTGGCGGGGGGGCAGGTGTGTGCAGTGTGTGTTTCTAGTGTATCCACTGATGCCACATCAGCCCAAGCCCCATCTTGCTGGGCTCTCAAGTAGCCTGTTTTCTGTATAGATGTCAGAGCTCACTTCAGGATGCTGCTTCTTGGCTTTCAGCTTCCAGTGGATATCTGTACTGTAGGGTCCAGTAGTTTTTCATGGCCCACAGAACTAGTGACCTCATTTCCTACATACAGTCCTTCCAGGCTACAATGTCCTCTTTCCACTTCCTGCTGTTCCAACATCTTTTCCTCTCAGGCCTTGGCACTGGGTGCTGTACCACCCTGATACTGTTCCTCTGAGAGACTTCAAGGCTCACTTCCTTAGGTAAATCATGTGCCTTGCCAGGTGTCACGGAGAGAACCTTCCTAGGGCCTTGATCTGAAGTAGCACACACACACACACACACACACACACACACACACACACACACTTTGCCTCCTCTAACCTCCTATCTGTGTTCACTGTTTATTTCTGAGACAGTTTTTACTACCTTAGCTTGCAGTCTGTCTTTTTATGAAGGACTACAGCAGGAAGAAAGTCATTATTTATGTTGAAAATCTATAGAATGTTTGATTTTTAAAAATATTTTATTTATTATTTTTATTTTGTGTGTATGAGTGTATTGCCTGCCTGTATGTAAGTGCACCTTTGTCGTGTAATGCCTGAGGAGGTCAGAAGAAGGTGTTGGATCTCCTAGAGCTGGTGTTAGGGACAGTTGTTAGCTACCATGTGGGTGCTGGGACTCAAACCTGGGTCCTCTGCAAGAGCAGCCAGTGCTCTACACT